AGAGCCATTGCCGTGTGGTAGAGGCCTCACGTTGACTTGAACTGAGCAGTCGGCAGAAGTGTTACAACATTTTTTTTTTTTTTTGCTGCAGGGAAACAGAAATAGAGGAGCTTAAAGCTCAGCTGGGACGGATGAGGGAAGACTGGATTGAAGAAGAGTGCAATCGTGTGGAGGCAGAGCTGGCCTTAAAAGAAGCAAGAAGTGAAATTAAACAACTCAAGCAGGTTATTGAAAGCATGAAAAACAGCTTGGCTGAGAAAGACAAAAAAATTCAGAAATACTTCATAGACATAAACATTCAAAACAAGAAACTGGAATCTTTGCTGCAGAGCATGGAGATGGCTCAGAACCACTCCATGAGGGATGAGCAGTGCCTGGAATACACATGCGACTCAGAGGAGAAGCTGTTGGCGTTGTGTGCCACCATGCCAGACAGCCCCATCACAGAGGACCAGGGTCTGGAGGAGGTGGCAGACAGCGAGCTGCTTCTTAGTGAGGACAGAGCTAATGGCACTGACTCATCTGGAGAAAGTTTGGCCACAACCTCTGAGCTGAGTGATCCAGCTCCTTTCAGTGCTGCTGTAAATAAAGAGATGCTTGAAATCATTCTGGATGGAAAATTAACTTATTGCCRGGAGGAAGAGAACAGCAACATGACGGTGGAACAGGCCATCCAGACTGACGTGGTGCCGTACAGCGTCGATGTGGAGCAACTCATTCAGAACATCTTCAGAGCTCAAGACACCTGCCCTCTAAGCCCACCTTCTTCACTGAAGGAATTGGGTGAATTTTCTCTCGGAAGCTTCAGTGATTCTGGTATCATAGTGGACTTAACTCCTAGTGATCCCAATTCTGCCATCCTTTTGTCTCCTATGGAGTCCCCATGCAGGAAGGTGGAGCACGGTGTTAATGAAAACCGTTTCATGAAAGAACTTGATTTTACAGAAACTCATGATGATGAAGCCTTTGAGTATGCCAATACAGGAATAAAGAGGAGATACTGGAGCAGCAGTCTCCTCGGKGATCTTCTGGCTGTAGCAGCCCCTGTAGTACCAACTATTGTGTGGGCTTTGAGTACTCAGAGAGGAGGAACAGATCCTATTTACAATATTGGAGCGCTGCTTCGTGGTTGCTGCCTGGTGGCCCTGCACTCTTTGCGCCGAACACCCTTCAACATCAAAACCTAAATTCTACTCTGTCCCTGGGCACCAAGTGGCTGAGGCAGAGAGAAAGAGGGATGAAAGAGATCATAAAAGGTTACTGTATATTCTGGCAGAGTCCATAATTTGCTTTTGACTATTTGATTTGCACTATAAATCAGTTCAAAAATATGTTCCTTGTTTCAAAATATAAAAAGAAAAAAAAAAAAGCTGAACCTTGCACTTCCACAGGATGTTTTTAACTGGTGTTTTTAACAGTGCTGCTGCTTACAGAAATAGTCCTTCTGCTCCCAGGCATCGTGTCCCACCCCTGTGCTGGTGACTTCCTGGTGCCAGTGCATYTGCACAGTGAACATGACCAGGGAAATCAGGAATTAGAGCCTAGTGCTCTTTCATGTTCCACTGGCGAGCTAGGATTCAGCTCAGTCGCTCTYCCTGGTTCACTGAGCAAATGTACAAGCACTTTGCACTTGCTCAGGGGKAGTGTGAGATGCACAGGGGAACAARTGACCAGAGAAAGGTGRGGTATTTCTCTAGGCAGCACTAACCTTCCCTTAGGGTATCACACCTGTGCTCCAGAAAGCATGCTAGCGCTTTCCATTTGTTGTCCCAAGTGTCAATTCAATTTAGAAGTAAAACCCGTATTCCCCAGGCAGCTTCCAGCACATCGTTTGTGCCTGTCTCGTGTAGTGCTCTTCTCAATTGTGCAATTGCTTGAGCATTTCACTGGTCTTGTGCGTATACAGGGACTGTAACCAAAAATGTACATTGTTGGGAGTCTTAACACTTGTTACAATGGTAAGTATAGGCGTGGATACACTTTGACCCTTAATGTTGTTTTAAAGTCTTTATGTACTGGAACCAGATGGTCTTTTGAGCCCTTTGAAACACTATGTATAAATGTATTGTGTTTTAACTTATTGTTTATTTAATTGCTTTATTGTAAATTACCTTTATAATCACAAGTTCAGTAAAGCATGATAATAGAAATGTCAAACGTGTGAGTGTTTTACTGTAGAAAAGTACAAAAAAATGTCCCATCCCAGCTGAGCTGAGGGAGGTACTGTATCGGCCACTGTTCCAGGAGAATTCTACTCAGAAAACCTGAGTACAGCTGCAAGTGTAAGCACTRACCACGCTGATTAAAGGCTCCAGCCGGGCTGCAGTTGCACACACAACCTTCTCTGCTGCCTCATGCTGCTGCACTCACAGATGGTTAATGGCAAATGACCTAATCTTTAACCCAATGCAATCAGCTGGAAACCTGGAACKCCTCAGCACTGAAATSCCAGAACAGTGGAAGTCTTYCTGGCATTTAACAGAGGCCCAGGTYTCGTTTAGCCCASCTGACAGTCATGTAGTTTCAGTGTGCACACTGTGACCATCAAAACATGAATTCTCCATGTCCAAAACCTAAGCTCTATGGGTAGATCAGAGCACAGAAATGCTACCCAACAAGCTCCACCCAAGTTTTCAACACCACCTCTGGCCATTTAAACCTCACTGGCCTCCTGTCTTCACCAAAACAAGTGTAGTATTTCCTTGTGCAASCCAGAGCCGAAGGGATCCACTGAAGCCTGACAGTGCCATGTATTGCTCTGCAGCTTTGGGGAAGGAAGTTACAAGTAATTCACAAGGGAGGAGTATAATTGGCCATGTGTGGGGCACATTTGCAACATCTAAGAGCGTGATACCGATGGTTGCAGAGGTGACTCGCACACCTTTCATGTCCCTGATGACGCCTGGCTTGTGAATTATTTTGTGTTTGCAATCGATTCTAGAGACTCCATTAAGCATTACATTAAGGACAAGAACTCTTAACAGATCCTTTGAAGTAAGGAGTTCACAGAGATGGACATGAGAAAATCTTGCTTGTTCTGCAATAACTTCCTGTTTTGTGCTCTCCTGCCTTCTTGGGTGCCTGCAGCCAGCTGGCTTGCCTTGTGACACCGCTGCAATGAATATTGCTCAAAGGTCACTTTGAAAAGCTTGTAAATTATAAGGACACTAGGGCCAAAATTACCAGTTGGAGGGTTTAATGTAAATTTTACACAACCATGGAATTTCATAATTCCTAAATATCTCTTCTTGGGATTGAAACACATTACAGAAAATTTTATTCCTATGTCAAAATGTATCTATGGAGGGGCAAGAGAGCAGTAATTTATACCTGACTTCATTCCAGTGTTGGATTTTTCTTTCACAAGCCACTACTGTTTAAGTGATCTTTGAGTGACAGTGAAATAGACCATAAGTCAGAGGAAAAAGTGATCTTCTAGGAAATGAATTCACAGGTGATTATGTGGGTGTCTTTTGCAGCAAGAAGCCACAAWGCAGGAAAAACCTACACTTACGTTTAAGATGCCAATACCTCAACTCATAACCATGTTTTGGGCAGGTTCCATTTAGCAGTAGTGTTTTAAAATGTGCTATTTAAGACGCTAACACCAAAACAATGTCAAAGTTTCTTCCTGCCCTTAAGAATCTTTCAATCTGCTCAGCTCTCAAAAGGCATTTAACTATGATCAGCAAGAAGTGACAGAATCCCCATCATATTCCTGGTAGAAATCCTTGCTCTGATCTCTATCCAAAACCCATCTCACTTCCAAGCCTCCACCCCTACTTCTCCACACTGCAAGGACATAGACAGCTCAAGGTGYCCTTTGTTAGAACATGCCTGAAGTACCATAATGCACCAGTCCCAGACTTTGGGGGATTGCTTTTTGTTCCACAATCCATGGAGAATGTCAATTGTTACTACAAACATACCAGCTTAGTTTTTTTCCCTCTAATATTACCCTTTAGTCTTTGTCATATCTCACCTGAATCCCACCGGTGCTGTAGAGGTAGGGGAGAACCATCTGCCTCCAAACAATTCAATAAAAACTCCCATCCTTTTTTTCTGAGTTTAGAAAATGCTCATATCCAGACCTGTACCACAGTGGAAGGTCTTGTCTCAAAACACGCAGGTGGAGAGGACATGCAGTTCATACACTAAGGGTAAAACAGAAAATGCTTGCATTCAGGCTTAAGGCACAGGAAATAAGTCAGCTCCTCCCCGGCCTGAGGGGATGCATGTTCATAATCCCATTATGCATTTTCTTTCTAACCCAGGAACAAAAAAAGCCTTTCTTGAAAATTCAGCTAAAGAAGTTCCCAACATGCCCTGCTGCTGAAAATGCTGACCACTTTTCATCAGAGATTCACCTCCACCCATSACAGAATCCATCAGGTTGGATGACAGTGGCTCATCTGGTTCAACCTCCCTGCTGAAGCAGGGTCATCCCAGAGCACATTGCACAAGATTGCATCCAGACAGTTCTTGAATATCTCCAGTGAGGGAGACTCCACAGCCTCCCTGGGCAAGCTGTTCCATCACTGCACAGAAAAGTCCTTCCTCATGCTGAGGTGGAACTTCCTCTGCATCAGTCTCTGCCTGTTGCCTCTTGTCACGCTCTTACAACTTCACTGTCCCTTGGATGCACAGGAAATAAGTCTCATGTGATGACATCAACTTTCTGTCTCAAGGTAGTAAATCTATACAACCCAAGAATTCAGGGACAATAGCACCCACACAACAGAAGCTGGWAAGCATTTAGTGAAACACTGGGCTGGACATAAGAAGCACGCAGACCCCCCCTCCTCCCATACACCTTTTAGTAGACATTAAACTTCTTCACTAAAGCATTGCTGCCTTCTATTGCACATTTACCATTCACACTTCACCAGGGTAATTACAGTGTAAATAYATACAGTAAGTGTACCAAAAATGGAGTTTGGAAAGTGCTTGTAACTCAACTTTCACACTACTTTATTAACAAGAAGACATGACTTTTTTTTCTCCATGACACTAACTATGCAATGAGTAAAAGGTGTGAGGATTCCTACATGTAGGAAGTATAAGAATTTCTGTAGAAATACAAGTTTACCAATACAAGTAAGTGATTTAAATGCTCCCTTACATTTATGCTAACCTTTGTCAGAAAGGTGCACCACTCTTGTGTAGTGATGCCACTGGTGGTAGTCATTGAAGTGTCACATGTAAATGGGAGCACAGAAAGCTTCAAGCAACAAACTGACAAGAAATCCATTTTTAGTGTTCAGCTGTAATTTGTGCTCTACTGTTCCATAACCTACCAGGAGCACATTTTGAGTTGCTGGTCATCCATAACAAGTTATTTTCTGCTACACAGGTCAATATGATCTCCCATGAAAAACTCCCAAGTGTTTACAAATATTTTGATAAAAGTAAAAGCAGACATTCTTGATCAGGCAGAACGCAAAGGGTTCTTTAAAACTTGTTTAATTACATGTTTCAGGTAAGCACAGACAATACAGGTAGATTTCCCACCACTTAATATTTACATTCTTTTCTCTAGGTTTGAGCAGTTCATTTAGAGTGTTTTTCAATCAACATCCTTGTCAATCACTTTTGCTGCAAAGAAGGGTGCTGGAAAAGAACTATCGCAGGAAACATTCCATCAAGGCATGATTTTCTGTGGGGCTTTTCTCCTTTAAGAACTACGTACTAGTAGTTCAAGATGTTTTGGGAAAGTCCGGGCTTCCAAGATGACCTGAAGAATGCATTGAAACCAAGCAGTGTGTTGAAGTCCTATAAATAGTTAAATCAATATCAATACRTATGTTGTAGAGCTGAAATTCTCTTCCCACTGGCACTGCCATTGTTGTCTGGTTTCTGTTAGGACAGTTTTACACCAATTTTGTTTTGTTCCTTTTTCATTAGCCTTTGTGCCTCTTTCTCCATTTTCTTTCGCTGTTGTTCTGCTGCTCTTTTTTCCCTTTCTGCTATCTTCTGTTGTCTGTAATTAAAGGAAACATTATTTGCAAAATAACACACACTCAATTTTCAGCCTGGTCATACCRTAAGTTCCTGTCAATATAGAGGTTATTATAAATAATAAAAACAGAGCTTCAGTCTATTGTCATTAGGCTCAGAACAGGTATTCTTTCACTGTGCTGAAGACCTTTTTTCAGATTAATATAGAATTGTAGAATATTCTGAATTGGAGCCCACAAGGATTATCAAAGTCCAACTCCTGGCCTGCATCCAAATGAATCGTACCATGTTCCTGACAGTGTCGYTTAAACACTTCTGGCAGGCTTGGTGCTGTGACCACTTCCYTGGGGAGCCTGTTCCAGTGATAAACCACCTCCTCCTGATATCAAACCTAATCCAATCTAGTTTTGGGCACTAATATTTGTTCAATTATCCTGCAATCTATTTTGCCACTAGCTTCTCACAGATGCAGAGTAAAGCAATCGGAGTGAGAGGATAGGAGTTATAAGGCCTAGAGCAAAAATGAAAAATCTATTTAATGCTTTCTGCAGCAGCTCAAAAGTTTTGGGKTTTTGCCAGTTTGGTGGTTTTGWTTGGTTTTTGTTTTTTGAGATTGYTATCATTACAGTACATTCCACCTAAAAGTTGGACAGCTAACTAGCATATGCAGAGTAATAGGATTTGCCACATTACAGTAGTGATTTTTACAGTAGCAGTTTTTTATATTCCCCACATATTTGAATGGATGCAGAAGGGAAGAAACATAGCAGCCAATATGTGGAGACAGTAGAATTCCAAAAAGCCACATGGTGTTAATGCTGTTGTTCATGTGCAGTTCTGAAGCAGGGATCATGGCAGCTCCCGTTTCTTCCCCTGGGACGAACTGCAGGACACGGAGCTCCTGAGCACAGTGGTGGTTCCATGCCCTCTACAGGCTGAGAACCTGCATTCAGCTCCACCCAGAGAGAGACCTTCCCCTCACTTGAGACAGGAACTGGCCAACAAAAGTACAAACAAGTAGCTGCTATAAACTAAAAATGTGTGAACTTAACTTGTCCCACTAGAAAAAAACCCTTGGTTGGTAATACAAAGTCTAAAGTTGCAGAGAGGAACCTGAAATTTGCAGAAGAAACTARGTTCCAACTAACTCAAGTTAACTGAAAATCCAGTTTATCAACCACTATAACAATTCATCACTGACTGGAAAATGTCAGTGCATCCCAGCCCAGAACTTGCTGGAGAAAGGGGGAAAAGAGACTACAGGAACTTCTCAGGCTCTAATAGTCTACTCCTCAGCACTGTCTTTCTGCATGCCTTGATTCCAGGGAGCATTTGACTTATAATATGTGCTTATTTCAACTGCTATGCTTATACATTAAGTCACCAGAAAGGCCACAGGATAGTGTCTTCACTGCTATTGAGCAGGACACAGCCCATTTTTGCGTGGTTGATCAGCACTCCATTACTACACAAAAATCAGTCTTACTGAATACCAACAGGTACAGCAGGTTGAGGGAGAGCCTAACTTTTTCTGCACACTAATTTAATTCTCAAAAAGCACCAATAGTCTAGTCAGCATTAACACTCTGGAAGATTAGGGGGACTCCATCCTCCATGTGGCAGTCTGAAATATTATACATACTTCTTTCAAGTGTTACACTTAAGCACTAAGTCACCAGAGAGGCCACAGGATCTTCACATCTTGTAGAYCAAAATGCAGACTTCTAGCATTGAGATGAGATTCCATACCACTTCCTTACTACAGTCTGTTGGAAACAGAGCCAGGCCTGTCCAGTACTATACTTATTTTATGCTAAATGTCAGATGATAAAGACACCACTGATATCTTCTGGGTTTACTTTTTCTTGCAGTAGGCATCTTCTATCAATCTTGCTAAAGATCAGCCAGTGACTTCATTCATTTGCAGATAAACATTGTCATTTGTGTGTCATGAATAAAACAAAGATTTTACTTCATGCAGCTGGGATACWGCTTACACAATGACCAGCTGTATTGAAATAGCCAGCCATAGCTGGTCAGTGGTAAGCCACAGAGACAGCTGGAGCTCTGATCATGTTCTGTCTCTGGAAATATTTAGACACACATCCCTCCKACAACAACTAGTTTGATACTTTACAGTGAGGCCAAAAAGAAATCCTATGAAAAATAACCATTTGAGTTGAACCCTTTCCATAGCAAAGATGAAAGGCTGGTATCTTTAGGATAGGTTCAACCATCCTAATAACATGACACTTAGAAAAATTAAGCTTTTGGGAAACCACACTGCTATTGCCACGTAAGAGACCTCTCTTCCTAAGTGTTCTAGAGCATGAACCTAGCAGTTGGCAGACAATATACCTTTGGGCATCCTGRAAATATGCACTGCACAAATCTAAGAATAAACTGGCATATAGATAYACCAGATCATTTTAGTAGCTAATTTGTATATGACAAACCCCTGCTTCAGAAAGTTTGAATGCTACTTTTGATAGTCCTAAAAGCATCTGTAATGGAATGTGGCAAGGGTTAAGTAAAGTACAATGCAGCCACTGCAGCTAGCAGCAAAAGTAGCTGTTTCATTTCTCAGTTAAAAAAAAAAAAATCAGTATTTTCACTGTCTTTCATTTAAGTCTCAGCAGACTGCACTTTAGCTGTTGAAGATCTTACTGAGTGTACTGATATTCTTTACAAGAAAAAGTACTATCCTTGGAACAAAAACAGCCCAAAAGCACATAATTCCTATCACAAAGATTGTACTTCGGTATAAGACCTGAAACAGTAACGAAGTTTAAAAAGAAACAAAACTAGACAAGGTATTGATCAGAGCCTACACACAGATTACCGATTAAGCTTACAAAAATATTTGCATTACAACCCTTATTCACATTAAGTAAGCTGTTGCAAAGCAAGACTGACAGAGATAATAAACGGAATCCATCCTAATTATGATTAGCGCATTGAAAATGTGCATCCTTCTTGTCTTATTCTAATGTAAATTTTTCAAAACATTTAAATATATTTTTTTAAAAATATCTATTTTCCTTAGAATTCTTTTTTAATATATCATGAGTTCATCTCATATCATCACTATTGGACCATGGAAGTCCTGCACTTGTGATTTCATCAGTAAAATAAGAACAGCCTAGGAAGCTATCTGAGGCTGGTTACCTGATGATGTAGCAAGAAGTAAAAGATTGATAAAACCATAAGTCACTGCCAGTTCAAATCATTGTRTATGATTAACTTAAACTCAATTTGCATCTCTACCCTCCATACTCTTTGTATGTATTCTTAAAAGGAAAAAGAAGAACACAAACTGAATAGCTGAACTATTCACACTACCTTTGTGCAAGACTGATTTTACATACAGCCTTATCAGCTAGTTTTGTTAAATTAGCTAGAAAAGCTTAGCTCCTACGGGATTCCAGGCATATACTTATCACTTCACCTTCTATTCTGAACTATTTTTCACTTAAGCACGTGGTTATRATACTTTCTATAAGGACATYGAGTGGTTTTTCACTTATWCAAACTGAAACATGATCTGAACATAATAAATTGTTAGGCATGGTGGGGCACTGTTGGGGTGGGGCTTTTTTAGTGCCTGCCTGSATGTGTTAATGTGTTGTTCCAATGTTCCAGTGATTGTCAATTTCCCCTACTATCTCATCTACTAAATTAATTMGATCCAAAATGTCTTCTGCTGAGTATCAGTTAAACAGAGATTAGATGCATAAAAAGGAATTTGTCTTAAGAGGTATTTAACAATTCTTGGCACTTACCAGAAAGGTATTAAAAAAAACAAATGTGATTCTTTTACATGTAAAACGTTTACATGGTGTTATATTAATTTCAATTACCTAAGAACTTCTTCTGCCTGCCAAGCAGCATCTTCCTCTTCTTCCCAGGCATTAGTATTTTCTTGCCAAGTCTCCAGGTCTCCCAGTTCAGGCTGAAACAGAACAGAATTGTTAAGCACTTGGAAAAATTAGATAAAACTCTAGTGTGTGACTTCCAGAGTGGCTCTTGGATGACAGTGAAGTTCCTTAACATTTATTTTTAACCTATTTATTTTTAACCTTAAAGCTTCAGACTTAGAGAAGTATTTGAGATATAGCAGTGCTTCTCAGCTTATTGTCTATGGTTTCTTCCTTGCTCTAATACTGAGTTTTTTCAGTTGTCAAAGGGTGTTTTGGACAAAGGCAGGAAGGAAGTAGTGGAGCGCATTTTTAGCAAGGGGAAGATAAACTGAGCAGATTAAATGAATCGATAGCGTAAAAGATTTCTGGAGGTTGCATGGACAAATCAACATATACCTCCACGTGTTTTTATGTCCAATATCAGTTAAGTGACACTTTTACTCACGGAAAGTCCTTTCCTGACCTATTTCATAATGGACAGTAMAAAGAGGTGGTATGACCATTCGGTATTGCCTCCTGCCTGTACCCTTTTGTGCACAATGTTCATCAAAGGGGAAGCACTATTAAGGCAAAAGGCAAGGGAGGGAGGGCCTCTCCCATTAACTGACCAGGCTGTTAGGTAACTGGACAATTTTTTTTCAAAGGCTAAGGGGCAAAAATTAGGAGACTGTTACATTACAATCCCTACAGAAAGGAAGGGAGAAGCAGAAGGTTTAAAATGGGTCCAAGACAATAAAGTAAACGTTAACTAAGAGGCTTTCAAAAAAAGCCTTCTACTCTTTTGTTAGTAACTTACTGTGAAAAATAAAAAAATCCTACGGTTCACTGCTTTAGCAGATTTGCAAGCATGTAAGTATATGGAATATTCTAACCTTTTTGTCATTGATCTGCCAATTTTCTCAGCAGAACWTATTGGACTACTTCATTCTTCACTCAATTTTAAAACAATTTAAATTATTCCACAACTATTCCTCTTACTCCCCACGATGGAGACCTTACGCAGACTATTCCTTCCCCTACAGAATATCATATAACTGACAAATACAAGATGAATACTTAGAGAATACTTACAGATTGGTGAATAAAAGGAATATCTTGTGTAGCTGCTAATCTGCTAGAGAATCCTGTGTTTCCCTCTGGAATCCCAAAATTTAAAGGCTCTCGTTTTTTAATAACTATCTGAAAATATTAAAAAAAAGGGAACAAAAAGTGGTAAATCAAAGCACTGCACAGATTTCTTGGTGATCATGTAACTGTGCCTGTGAAGGTTCAGCTACACAACACTTCACTGTGCCTCAAACCTGGTCAGGTTCTGCAAGCTGCACAGCCAAATGAACTGGTAAGTGGAAGATGCTAAATGCAAAGAACAATAACTCCTCCTCCCCCMACTAGCTTTTTCTTCAGTCACATGGAAACCTATGACTGTATCAAGAAAGAATCACAGATAAAGTAGCCATATCTCCCAGTATTCATAAAAGCTACCAATTATGAGATATATTTCTTGGAGAACTCCTGCTTCTGTGACAGGTCACTTTAAGGTTCTACTTCTGAGGACAGTGTTGTCTACAGTTGTACTCTCTCAGCTACTCCAATAGCGTATCTGTGCAGTTCCAATAGCTGCAAATTCTCTGTCAACATTAACTAGTAAAACTCTGTACTGGTTTGACTGAAAAACATACACTAGTGCTTTTCACAAAACAGCTGCTGAGAGCACGTATCCTTCACGCATCTTGACCTCAAGTCACGAACTTCATTTAGCCCACTTTGAGTCTCTGCTGCAGATCTACAGTTCCACTGACTGCACAAATGCTAGTACCAATGCAAGAAACAGGACCAGACAATGTTATTTAGCAATGACAGACTGTCTGATGAGTATAGATGAATGGCAACATGAGTAGACTCTGCCTCAAATCTCAGGGTTTGCATAGAGACAATCAGTGGAAACACAAACACAAATTCATACTGAATAGTGTTAACTAGGCTAAGTTAACAGGGATGTTCTTTACAGCACCTGCAGTCATCCCTAGAGATACATTTAAACTAAACCCAGTATACAGTATTCAAACAGCATGCACTATTCTCCAGATTTGTTCTGAAACTGAAGCTCATTCTATTAGGCAAAAAATGTTGGTATATWTAAAGAAGAAATCCTACTCTCCCAGTCCTCTTCTGCCCCTCAGATTTTGTGAGATCAAAATCCTTAGAAGAATTTAGTCCACAAAATACTGCAGATCCTGAATGCACAGAAAATTGACACCAGTGTCACCTTCAGCCCACAGAACTACAGGAAGATTCCCACTGGAAGGGCCTCAAGAAGTTTGCAATCTCCTCAAAGCACTCTTGAGGCTGATGAAAGTACTTTGGGCTTATCCACTTGGAGCTTAAAAAACTTCCAGAGATGGAGGCTGAACAACTTCTCTAGTAACCTGTTACAGTACTTGCGAGGTTTTCCAATTGATTCAAAGACCTGTAAGTACCCAGCTGAAAAATCTGCACATAAAAACAAAACTTGCAATCACCAGATTTCAATYAGCATTTATTTACAATGTTGATACTCCTGCCTGTCCTGTCTCCATAGTAAAAATGGGTATTTGAAGAGCAAGCTATTTTGAAATATCAATTCCCTAATTCCAGYCTCCCCAATATAACTTGGTGAAAAAAGTAACCTTGTTTTCTGAAACAGCAGGGCTGCTCCCTCAGAATTCAGCAGAGAAAGAYATGGAATGTCTCTGTTCAAATATAGATATGAGCACAAGCATCTTAGTGCAGTGTTTCACTTTCAGAATTCAAGTGAGTAAAGGGTTCTCCCATTATACGTCCAAGAACTTTTAGACAATGAAACTATTTTTAAGTTTCCAATAACATGAAGCCTATTAAGATCTCAAAGATCTTAACACTGGACATGTTAAACTATGCACCAGCATCTATTCTTATTTACCAACAGCACCTTCTATAAGTTACCTATTTGCTCATAGCATATTTCAAAGCAAAGAACCCCCCCATAAGTATAGTTGAAAGTGCAATACTTACTTTTTGAGTTTTTCTTATAGTTGGTGTCATATCTTTGAAATAATCAGGTTCTGTTTGTTCCAAAGAATTTTGCTGAGCWGCCACATTACCATTGCCACCTTCAATCTTCACACTTGTAGGTGCATCTTCATCCCAYGAAGACCAGTCTTCTACTTCAGGCTGAATATAAGTATATGGTACACATTAATAYTATCTGCAGGTAAAACTTGTCTTTTCTTATGTTGCTAAGATATATACTTAATACTATATAGCATATAGAATAGTATTATATCTTTCTTGGCTATAAACCAATCCTGTTGTAGGACTTGTATAATCATCCTGTTAAGGGATTATCTATCAAGCCACCTACCACTTTAACAATTACCTGTTTAGGAACAGATGAATAATCCACTGTGGTTGGCAAAGTTATTTGGTCTCCACTTAACTTTCGCCCTCTTCCAGACCTGAAAGAAAAATGTAGGATTCCTCCAAGCTCTGAAAACATGAGCACTAAGTTTAAAAAAAACAAAAAGGAAGTCTGAGAACAGCACTACTGAAAATAGTCATGGCTTAACATTTAGTGCTTCAGTTACCTTTGCATTAACTACTGCCAGCAAAAGTCTGCTAAGCAAAGGACTTTCATCATGAATTTAAAGTGGTGTTCACAAAAATTTCAAAATGCAATTTCCTTTTCTAATWGCAGTGAAATAGAGGAGAAATACTTCTGAGAAATATGAAAATGGACTAACTCATTTGCATAAATCAATTACAGTTTTTAGGTTGTCAATGCTTATGAAGCAAGCACTAGTGATCTGTATTTGCCAAAGAACCATTTCTACTGTAAGATGAGAATTTTTCTGTCTTAAATTTTAAGCTGTGTCTAACAGCTTTCTGAGGTGCTTGATTTGAAAGCCTCTCTAAAGCTCTTTTTCTTTCAAAGTCTAAACARAGGTAGTACAAGATTATGCAAGTCAACAGCTTTTGTTCTATTCCTGSTTCTACTTAAAGAATACTCATGCATGCATGAGTTAATGCATTTCAGCAACTATACAAAATAATTTTAGTTGAAAACAACACTTATGCATTGCAAGTAAACCACCTAGATATTTACTTAATGACAGCGTTCAAAGATCAGAATATTAATGAAAATATTCTTAGCTGACATTCACTGTATTTTAACACCTTACAACACAACAGAATGCAAATCAGGCTCACACTCATGCTTTCCCCAAGGAATGTAAGCTCCTGTAAAAAAGCAATCATGTAATTGACCTTACGCAGTTTGGAAATAAAACTRGAAAACTTGAGAATAGAACTGGGAAATTTCAATTTCTAGTTTCGATCCATTAGTTTTAGTATTAGAGAACACGCTATCAGCTCTGATTACCTGAATTGCTTGTTTTATCACCTCTGCTGCATGAAGGTGACTAGATACATTTTTTCTACTTTAGACCAAATAGATTCTTCCTCAGGAAAGTTCAGGTGCTATCATCAAAGTTTCATTTCATTAACTCTAGCCCCTTTACAAACTGCTCCTTTTACAAACTGGTCGTTTTAAGTTGAAAAGCAACAGAGTTTAGGGTAAAGGAAGGTGAAAACACTGTTCCCTCAATCACATTTGAGACTTATGGATGATAAGATTTACTTGACATCTCTAAAGAAAATCCAAGCTTAGAAACATCCTCCTTCAGAGCTGGACAACATACACACCTTTAATACCATTGTAAGTCATCACCTCTGTACTTTCTTTACATGATTCAGAAGACTCCAGCAAGTGATGTAATAAACATCAAGTCAAAATGGTTACAGTWACAAAGGTGAAGGTAGGAAGGAAACAGCTTTTGTCATACAAGGTAGGAAAAAATATGGTACACAGAGGAGCACTGAGGATGGCTATATATCTCCAGTTCTAGGGAGGGAACCAGATGCTTACAGGAACAGCTGCTCCAYAGCCACCATTAGATACTGATCACTGCTCTGAATGCCAAATGCCTCAAGAATTTTYGCCTTTGTTTCTCCTCACTAATAAGCAGCATCCCGATTTCTCAGCTGGAGATAACTAGAGATTTTAAACAGAATGAAGTTTCATCTCTTTTTGTACTTACACCTTTCATTTCCTGAAAACTGGATTCRGGAAAGCTGCTTCATCAAGAAGAGATTTAACTAAAGAAAGGATTAGTAATATATGTAAGCTATATCTGCCTAGAAAGTTSCAAATCTCTACGGGCACTTGTTTAAATGAAAACCTAACGTAAACTATATAATCTAAGTACTAGCTCATCTCCATTGAACTAAAATGCACATTCAATTGAATCATATTTGCTAGTTATTAGGCGTAGTCGTATGCAAAGGTGCACTACWGGAAAACAAAATTTATCAAGCTACACTTTGCAGCTGACAGTAAACAGAAGAAACATCTGTAGTTAGTGGTATGAATTAATCTGATCCAGGGACTTGCTTACRTGAAAGTTTTCAAATTTTCGTTTCTTCAATTAATTGTTATTCACCAAAGAGTTTTCTAYTTTTTGTACTTGAAACGGTTTCTTAGCTCATTTGAAGATTACAGTTTATTCAGAATTTGAAAAAAAAGGATAAAAATACTGTGTGTATTTTATAGATATATATATGTGTCATTACACTTACAAAACAATTTTGTTTATTAAAAATACCTTTATACTTAGAGAAACAAAGGGTCCACATAATATAGAAGTTAATATCAACTCAGTGTTTTGACTTTTAACTTGAACAGCAAGTATTCTTAATTTAATTTGGAATTCAAATTACAGAACTAAGGTTGATATCTATATAATTGTATGCAGCATTAAAACGTATTTTTTAAAGTTTCACTAGATCTGTAAAGAATTTACCAACAAGTTGAGAGCTTCCTCTTGGAATAAATAAAAGTGAAAAGGAAATAAAGTTATTTTGTGTCTACCACAAATTCTGCGTATGCTTTGACCTCACTTGCAAAGTAGCTGTCATCATACATAAAAAGAGAATACATTTCTCTAGACTGCTATTTGTTTGTATAAACAACATGCTGCAAAAATGGCAGGAAGGACAGTAGTTCATATGACAGCACAATGCCAAGAAKATCTGCCTCAGGTACTCTGCTACTATATTACTGAACTCGACTACTTCACATCCATAACTCTTGAAGGTTTTTAGAATGCTTTTAAGTGTAGCATTCATGGTCTACAATTAAAAACAACACCACATATGACTTAAAGGAGTGTAAAAAATAAGTCACTATTCATTAAAAAAAAGCTGTTCTCTTGGACTTCAATCTTCAATCATTGTCCTCCAAACTTTTGAAAGAATCTTCAACAGGCAGAAGAATCTGAAGGCTTAAGCTACTGTTTTTTGACAAAAAGGATGAGAATTGTTTACGTTTATACTGAAATCCTACTGAATGATTGATGACAGAGTGGATGCTCCCATTAACTGAATCTCTTAAAGCACAAAGTATCACCTGCCAAGTATTTTTAGAAAATGCCTAGCACAGCTTTTCTTCAAGTTTGACATGGAGTAGTTTTAAAAGCCATTTTAAAACCCTGTCATAACTGTTTACAGAACTTCATTCAGCTATCATACAACAAAATATGCTCACAAATACACTACACAGACTTCTGGAACTCTGGACAAATATGCAAATTAAGTAATTAATTTGATTTAGTTTTCATCTGTCTTGATTGATTGGCAATTAGTAAAATTAGAACTGGTAGAAGTGGTGGGTACTGGGAGAAGGGAAGAAGTGCAAGAACCTGTAACTGAAAAACTGAAAAAGAATAGGTAACCAAATCAAATAAGACATGTTTACCTGCATATTAACTTTTTAATGAAAGAAAGCACTGCTGCCAGGCAAGTACAGACTTTAAAGAGTCGAAACTGTGTTATGGCCATGGTGAGAAACCCTTCCTGCAACAGAAAAAAGTTAGATGCAGAGGATTATACATCTTCATAYAGTACTTAAAGGCAATTACCTTAGTTGCTGCTAAACAAGGAGCATTCCATAAAACCATATTAATGCAAGAAAAGAGAGCAGGTATCCGGAGCAAAGATGCTATCTGCCTACTATCAGGATATTTCAATGACRTAAATAATACAAGTATCTAAATATATGTGGCCTTTAAAGAAACAGTACAAAATCACATGTATAGTCACAGGTAAAGACACTTCTAAAGGSGAAGTGCAGGCAATCATTTGCAGTGCCTGTGCAGTTGATCTGTTTCAGACACTACCAGTAGCAGTGAACACCGGCAGTGCAAAACACAATAACCATCACAGAGAAACTCTTCTTGCCTAAGCATGTCTTATATATACAAATTATAAATTTAGTCATTWAATGAAATCCCAAAATTGGCTGTTTACATTTACCTTCCATTTTAATGGAAATGTATGACAAGAACAAACATTGTTTATTTTAGAACTAGTCTCACTGAAAAATCATCATTGAAGAAAGGCTGTTCATCCTATGTGCATTATTGCACCAGCTAACCCACAGAGCCATTAGTATTCCTATGTCTGCTATGCTTGACTGGATCATGACAGCAAACACAGCCAGGAAAACATTCATCTTTGGCTGAAGCAACTCCTGGTGGCAGTTAGTTTTTCAGTGACAATTTGATGATGTAGAGAATTTATGCTCAGCATATCWTATCATTCCAACATACCACCTCAAAGAGCTACAGGCTGACTCAGAATAATCTGCTGTAATTCAAGAACTTTCTCTTCTGCAGGTGAACATTTCAGAATAAAGAACAAGAGGTTAGGCTTCACAAACAGCTTTTCATTATATACATCTACACTTGTAACAACATTTTCTGTTGCAATTTTAACATACCTCCTGGTGAGAAGAGAAGGCAGCCCTGTGACATTTTCCTCAGGCCATGAGTATTCCATGGAAGGACAGCTTGATTTCAAATATGCTATGGCATTTAAATCACTTTTTATATTCCAGGCTTTAAGTTAGGAAGAGTCAGGAAGGTGGATCATTAGGTAGGCTGCTCCAATACTGTCCTGAGGATTTTATTAAAAAGGTACATAATGGGATTTGTGAGCTTCATGGAGCATAGAATTCTTTTTATCTAGCTCATTTGCTAGATAATGTAACTACTACTAAACACCGTAGTTCTGGAAATATTGCAGAAATATTGCTTCACATATTGTCCAGAACAGGACTTTCTACTACTGAAAAATCATAAAGGGAGCTATTAAACAAAAAGGCCTTTTACTGCAAAATGGAAGACTTAAGTCAATAAGTAACCACCAAATTACAGACTGCACTATCAAGCTGTAGCTCAGGAGAAAGGCTTCACAGAACATGTATCACCTCTACCTCAACATTTGAGTTGTCTCATTTCATTTCATGGGAGACTTAAAAATGTAGAGAACTTTATACAAGTTTGGATTGCTCTTCATCGTAACAGAAATAGGAAGCAGTCAGTTCCCACAAAGAGGCAAGAACAGACATTGTCCAACAAACACATTTAGCTTTCAGTTTAAAAGACTGGAYCATTTCATATTATGCTCAAGCACTTCCTTACCTTCGAGAATGAGCAATGTTGCCAATATCTAGATGACAGAAGAATGCACCAGTCAAGAATTTGAATGATTTGGAAATAATGGAAGTTAGTGAAAGAAGTGTGGATAGTAATAGATGGAACGTTCTCTATTCTAAAAGAAAATATTGCAAACTAACACTGAACTGGTGTGAGAAAATGTTATTTTTAGTAGAGCCAGCTAGAAGTTATATACCTGGGATTTGAGGCATGAAGAGCATATGACCTGCTGAAATGAGAATAAAGGTACATCTTTTCTGAAAGGAAGCTCATTTAGAAGCTCACTCCACTCTACCAGAATTCACTCTTCTATCAGCTTGAGGGGCAGGAGGGAAGGAGTAGGTAGAATAGTACTCAATTAGAAAGAGTTAAGCTCTTTGATCCTGTTCAGGCTAACTGCCACACTGGACAGTACACACAGATCCTAAATTTTTTTTWAAAAGCTCTAATTATTGACTGAAAAGTTTGTTTTGGAAGCCACCAAAACCTTTTGCAGACTCAATATAATTTATGTCTAAAGATAAGGAACCAGAAAGATTACTAAGTGAAAAATTAAAACCAAACAATGTTCAAGTATGTCAGTTACAAATATATATATATATATATGCACATATATAAGTCAGCCCAGTTTTCAACTTAATTCATTTTTTCATATATCAAATCGTATTGAGTTATCAATAGAAACCTAAATGAAAAAAACAGAATCCATAAGAACTCTGGCTTGCAGAGCAAGCAGACTTGTGAAGTCCACTGTTGACAAGAATTAACCACCAGAAGCTAATCCATTTCCCAGGTCATTCTCATACATGAGTAACTACATTTCCAGTAAGCCCATCTGGCAGAGTTCAACAGCTATCATCATTCCCCTTTTTGAATCAGATAACTTCCACCTCTCCACTTCCCATGGATCAGGCAAAGACTTCAGAGTTATGAGACACACAACCACTTAACATACTTTTGACAGAGCTGCATTTCATTTCAGCTATGTTAGAACTAGGCCCTTCAAAGCCTGGACTTGTTGCTCTAGGAACAGCATTACCTCAAAAGTTACTACTTCATATCATATATAGCAGACTCAAAACTAGGTACACTGAGGAAAGTTCCTTTTAAAGGTGAATGCTAGTACTACTATGGCTGGCGGATAGCATATTGTTGACAAAACTCTGTCTATGTGACACTTCATAGTGTACAGAGCTTAACTTAATTGGGAAAATTTCATTAATTCTAGCAAGATGCTAAAAGCTGTTTAAAATTTTGAACCAATTATTGTCTCAAGGTAAGGACAAGTCACGCATTTCCCCGTGTCTGAAACAGCGATTGAAACATGCATTGCTACTCTAGGAACAGCACTACGTGRAAAGTTAAAGGTTAGCTAAAGGTTTTGACTTTTGTTTGATGCCTTTGGGGGTTGGMTTTGTGTTTTGGAGTTTTTTTAAGYTAATTAAATTTCTCAAAGGTAAATAATTTTATATTCTGAAGTAGTTGTATGAATACAGATGTACAATAAAACCCTAATTTTTTCAGTTCACTACAAACTTAATTCACCTGATACCATTATACTAGAATTGCTAAGTGAAGCTAGCAATTCATCCTTTTCTTGTCCATCTCTCAGACGCAGGAAGGAAGCACAGCCATGTATCTTCTCTTTCTCATGGGAAAAAAATACTGCACAGTGTAATGATAAATGGAAGGCCACAATATTCTGTCTTCCTTTTCTTCTCTTAAGCCTTTCCTTGATAAACAATCCCAAAACTGTAACAGTAGTTAATTTTGACAGACGATGATAGAGACATAACACAAAATTGCAGTGCTACATTAAAAATCCTAAAACATTTCTTAACAGATAAGAGGGAAACGTGAAACACTGGACTAAAATTCAGAATATCTGTTAGGAGTTGTCTGTCATGCTGATACAACCTTCTGCATATCACGCCTTGCACCTCAGCTTCCCATTTATAAAATGGGATAGAGATTTTCTCCTCTCACTACTGAAATTGCTTCTAAAGTATTACATTTATCAGACTTAGTGTCAAAAGAACTACCATTATAACAGATATCAAGGAAATAAATCAAGACATGAATCCTAAYGAATTTAATACTACTGGTCAACTCAACCAATTTGTAACAGACACCAAATTTAGCTGGAGATTGACTTGTAGAGCTCATATGCTGCTTCAAGTTGGTAAAAAAGTCACAGCAGGTGTTCACATGGAAGATGAGCACAGAAAGGATTAAAAGACAGTAGCCATGAGATGTTAAACACTAGAGCCAAGTCAAGAATGAGGCAACTTAACCGTTTTATGGCTCTATAAAGGAAATAGAATGAAGGGAGGGAAAGTACAGAACTTTATTGAACAACATTGCCTATAGCTTGCAACAGTAGCCTCATTAGAACTCCTGGCACCTCTGAATTCACTGACAGTAGCCAGTGTAGTTAGTCCACCCTTGGACAGACTGGTTAATCAACTATGGTGMAAYAAGCAAGACTCTCACTGTTCATCAYTGTGCAATGRRCACATTGGCACCTGGAGACACACTTCCTCTTTCATATCTAACTGTACCTACAAATACCACTTAAACAGGACTTCTAGACACAGAGCCAATTCTAAAATAAAGTCACTCTGTGGCACTACAATTATTTTGGAAACTTGTTTTCTCCTAGTGAACTCATATTTTACTGTCAGTGAAAAAGATGCAATACAGTCATTATAGAGGCTCTATCCTGCTCTCCTCCGATCCTCTACAATGCCAGYTGATTKGTACTGTGCAGCTTTCTTTAGATATTATCATATTTGAAATACAATTTCCACCTTGTATTACCAGTGTCTTGTGAATTGATTACATTTTTTTTTTCACATCAGCTTACTTGTGACTCTGGAATGTAAAAATGAACACACCTTGTAATCAGTGACCTTAGCCCATATTACACACAGCTAGATAAATAACCAACGATGATGTCTAAAATAACTTGCCTGAAACTGAAAGGCTGCCCTCTAATTTACATAAGGAGCCACAAAAAAAGGTTCACCCTTCTAAAGCAAAACAAGAAGGTAATTTCCTGGTACAAAAGACTAACATGATCTTGAATATTTACATTTGTCARCACCAACCCTCCATACTGGTTCAGTGGTGCTTTTGTATTGTCACTACAATAGCTGACAAAAACCTAGAGAAGTTTCACTGGTATAAGATTTCTTAAAAGTTTATTTTGTATAAAATTTTACAAAAGTAGAATGGCCACATCTACTGTATGGATGAGCAAGTAGGTTTACAGAGAGATGGAATTTTATGAAGATTAGTTGATAAGGCTTAAAAAACTTGTTTTCAAGCACACAATCCCTCATCCAAATAGTTACAAGGTGTACAAAGACACGCGGTATATTTAAAAGGGCAATGTAATGATTCAAGAACATCTTTCAGTCAGGCACTGAAAGACAYAACCAGCACCTCCTGCATTTCAAAGACAGAATCCATGACTCTGTAGCCTAATGAGAAGTGTTACTCCCCTCTTCTTGGTTGATTTCTGTTTGGTTTTTCTTTGGTTGGTTGTTTTTTTTCATCACTTTATACAGAAACATAGTATTAGGAACACTTGTGCACGGAGTGAAAAACATCCCCTGTCTCAACCACTGAGTTTGATAAATAGACACATTAAATGGCAGCATGACTGTACCCTGAAGCCATGCTATTATGGCATTAGAGAGAAGAGCAGAATCCAAAAGGAAGATTAGCAGGCATCTCCTCTAATTATAGGCAAGTAGTTGTGGGATGTTTGTAAAGGCACTGTAATTTCAACCCTAACGTTCCAACTTTCAGTGCAAATGCTCTAWCTAGGCAGTTGAGGTAGCTGGGACAGGAGACAGCCCACTCACATAAATCATAGGCAGAGTAAAGTCATCCAAGACAATCAAATCCAGAAAGAGGAACTATCAAAAGCTGCAGAAAATACCAAAAGTCAAGACAGTACGTTTGTCTAACCAAAGGCAGCAAAAATTGGTGACTGATGTAGAYTCCTGTGTTATTTCTAGACACCAAACACTCTTGATATACAACATACAGAGTTTTAAATATGTTTTTAAAACTCCCAGAGCCATAAAACTTCTATAGTAATACCACATCTCACGCCTTCCTCTCTAAGAAACTGAATGTAACTCCAAACTTATTAATGTGGACYCCTGAAGCCTTCTTTTCTGAATTAGAATAAGTTCTACTCTTCAAGGCAACATTAGTTAAAACAGAAAGTTTATGTCCACTGACCAACAAGTTATTCTTKGACAATTCCTTACCAATATATGCCACTGTCTTCTGAAAACCTGCACACAGAACACGTTTTGAAGTAATGCAATCTTACAATACTACACTGTAATTTCATTCACCATTGAAACAAATCTTTTACACAATGCACTAATTCATGTAACTAACTTCACTGAAGTTCTCAGACACAGAACCAGAGTTCAAGAGACCCCAGTTCTGTTCCAGTCCTTAGCTGTCATCCTGGACCTAAGTTTTCTGTAACTACATGGAATGCCTGAGACAACAAATTAACACTCATTGTTACCACCACAAAATTATCTTGCAATACCTGCTCTCTTGACAAGAACCAGCCACTTACAAACAATGTACAGTATAACACGGCCTAAAGAAATCTCTAAGGTGCACATCTGTATTTCCAGAGGGCTACAAAGCAGCAAGCTATACTATTTTTCATTAGATATGCAATTCAGGCATTTTTATGTGAATTATACTGTGAATTCATGACCAAAAAAACAGCACCCTACCATTGCACTGACCAGTGAAGCTATTAGAGACAGCACCGAAGCCACATGGTAGCACTCAATTTTTCTGTGAGCTGCTGAAGTCTTTTAAGTCTTTAAAAGTGTRCTAAGAAACCTCCACACTGCGTATTATGAAATTTGCCGGTCAGCGTAAACTTCAAARTAGGTAACCCCAAGCAATGCCGTCCCAGCGCCAGCTCTGACAGGACGCGTGTCCTCTCCCTTTCCCACAGAGTGCCAAGTCCTGTCCCCAAACGCTGCCTATCTACTGCTCCKCCACTTCATGCTCTCCCCAGCCCCTGAGATCCGCCGCTCTTCGCCGGGAAGGGCCCGGGCCGGCAGAGGCCGCGGGCCTGGCGCTCCCGGGCCGGCCGAGCAGCCCCGCCGAGCGAGGGCCGAGTGGCGGCGGCAGCGCTGCAGGGCCGGGGCGCCCCGAGCACGGAGCGGAGCGGAGCGGAGCGGGGATGCTGCCGCGGGAGAACGCGCGGGCGGGGCGGCTCTGCCCCGGGCGGGAAGGAATCGAGGCCGGGCCCCTGCCCAGCAACACGGAAGCGGCACCCGGCGGCGCAGGAACCGACCCTCCCCGCTCACCTGCCCCGCGGGGGAGGCCTCGCCGGGGGTCGCGGGGCTCCAGGGGCCGAGGCGGCCGCTCCCGCAGCCTCCGGCCGCCCCTCATCCAGAGCCGGGCACACGCCGCTCCGCCGCCGCCTCGCACGCCGCCATCTCGGCCCCGTCACCCGGGAGACGCGCCCGCCCCTTCCGGCCGCGCCGCCTCCGCTGCTCTCCCGCTGCTCTCCCGCTGCTCTCCCGCTGCTCTCCCGGGCTGTGGGCACTCGTGGCCGCGGAAGGCTTGGGGCTGGGGCTCGGCTGTGCCGGGCTGCCCCGGCCCGCTCCGCTAGCAGCCTGTGCCCTCCCCCGCCCGCCTTCTTCCCGCGGCCACGGCGCCGGGGGGCAGGGAGGATCACAGCCGGGTCTTTGTCCGTCCGGGATACTGCGATGAAAAGGCGTTGGACTTTAACCGTGTCGGGTTGCTGCACACGTGGCAATAAAGGTGTTCCTCTGTGCTTGACAGGCTGCTGAGCTGTAAATTTGGGTGTTGCTAAAAAAAAARAACATCGCTGAAGTTGCTTCTGACAGGTGCAGCTCCAGTGTTCCAGTTTGTTCACTAAGTACTTGTCCATTTTAATGACTGGTTAAGTGATCTAATATAGGGTATTSTAGAGCTCTGTATAAACCTCTAGTTGTCTTACATTCGGTAGGTGAGGTAAAGTGGTGTTTGTCCCTTTCTCCCTAGTCAGTTCTAGARCAGCACTAGTACAGCACTCCTTTCAGCTCCAATCCGTAGCATTCGGTTCTTTGTGTGCTCTTTAAATATCGTCCCATACAGATTTCCTGTTGTGCCGCTGGTTTTATTCAGCTGCTGTGTCCCATACCTGTGTCGGGTAGTGAGGAGATGGATGATAGGATGGCTTTTATGAAGAGGTGCTGGTATCAGACGGAGTTCCGTCATTTCCGTTTTTCCCTATCCACAAACACTGTGACTGCGTTTCCAGCTCTGCAGCAGGAAGCAGGTCCCAAAGGGACAAGGAGTTAAACACCATGGCTGGCCATGGGGCAAGGAMCTGTCAGCCAGGACATGAGCAGGGTGGTCTGAGGACAGCTCAGAGTCCAGATTACCAGGAGGTTTCTGGTGATGAGGAAGGTCTGAGGACAGAGCAGTGAGTCTGCGCTGGTCCAAGATCAGTAGAGTCCATAGCAAGTCAGGRCATAATTGTGGCCAAGCTTAAGGACGGCACTCCTATGCTCTCCTTGGAGAGAGAGGATTGACACCCTTATGCCTTTAGAACCAGTCTTCAATTAGAGAAATTCATATGTAATGCTGGTTTTAATTTAAAAACCTTTTCAAAACCATTTGTGTAGCAGAGTTACATCTTTCAGTATAACTTTCTATCTGAAGTAGAAACTGAAAAATAATCTTTGTTTGCATTAACACAGAAAAAGCAAAACTGCAACCATGACACCCAGGGAAAGGTCAAATTGTGAAGACAGACAGTTACATTTCTTTTGAGAACACAGTTAGGTTTTGACATTGCAGTCTATGTTCAGTTGGGAATATGCCACAGTGAGAAGGAAGTATTTTAACATAAGCATTTAAACACCTACACTTAATACAAAAACTGCCAGAGAGGCTGCCCACACTATCCTCCTAAAGGCACAACAGACCTGTGTGTGGCTGTTGCATTAATGAAGAAATGCTGGACATTGGCTGACCACTAATGGAAATAACTGTCTTCTCTAAAAACATAATTATGCAGTTTCAAAATTAGTAATAATATAAACACACATATCTTAATTTCTAAAAGAAATGTTCACAGGGATAAATACTTCTCTGTTCAAAAATGTCATTAAACCTCAGCTTTGAAGTTTTAAATGTGGATTCCTTTGGGTCAGTTGATTTTCCTAAAGCGGTCTCCTGAAATCTTGGATATTTCATTGCCACATTGAATGCAGTAATGCTACAGTAAACTAATCAAGTTTGTTGGAGAACTGTATTTCTTAAATTAATGTTTTTCCTTTATAGATACTAAGACTTAAACATATTAAATCACATTACCTGACAATTTGCAAGTGTRCTAATGTCACTTCCTTTACATCTATAGCAATTTCCATCACTTCAAAGATTGATGGTTCCATCATCCTGATACATGCCTGTTTCTACTTAATAACCTCATTCTGTCTGTAAAAGGGATACAGTCTCTCTTTCAGTATGAATTCTCCCTCTTGTGGGATATGTCCTTGATTTATTTGTTTGTTCTCTCACTGTTAAGTAATTTATTAAAGGTACAAATAGATATTTAACTGAGTACCTTTCTTCAATCACAGTCTTCCTGAATTGTGTAGTAATTCTAGTTTTATGTTTGCAGAAGAAATTTTACCTTCAACGAGTGTTTGATTCTGGTCAAAGCAGAGTTTTCTTAGTTCTAACCACAGAAAAATTGCAGGTTTTTACTGAAAATTCAGAAGTCATTTTCTATACTGCTGCTACAAATTTAATCACTAAATCATCTTGAATCTCTGGATGAGAAGAGACAGTTCCCTTTTAATACACATTTTCTATTCCTTTGTAGTATTCCTGAGCATCTATTTTGGGTATTGTCTAAAGTATTTAAGTATTGTCTAAGTATTGTCTAAAGAATTTGTTCAAGTTTACACAAATGTGTATCCTAGCCTGTGTGAAAATCTGACCCAGGTAAGTAGCCAAGTAAGAAGTCACAAAAAACCCCTTGTCTCTTTAAAGGTCTTCCTGGCTGAAGCTGTACTYTCCTCTGCCTCTGACAGCATATCTTAAATTCCTTCCCTTATTCCCACTAAGGCTTCATATACCTTGTAGAGGAAAATTCCAGACCAATGATCTTGGTAAGAAGCCTTTGTAGGAAAATTCAACAAACTTTAGCTTTAGCAAGCATATAATATATATATGTAATATATTAAAAATAATAATCATAAATTTGAAATGGAGCACACTCCAAGTAGCTTTTTTTTGGAAGCAGTGGTCAAGAGAGGCCAAAGAATATCTCCCTGATCTGAGGCAACTGTCCACGTTTGGTCTTCTGCTGGACTGGGGAGTTTCGTTGCTCCCCTGAGATGTTTCAGGAGTTCTGTCTCCTTTAAGCATCTCTCTCTGTGCGCTGACCTTCACACTGGAGCCTGGCCAGCTGACAGSACCTTTTGCAGGACAGAACCCCCAGTCAGCCTGGAGGAATCCCCACCTAGGTTGAAACAGGCAGGTTGGATTTTTCAGTGTTGTAAAGAACTTAGAGATGACGAAGAATGTGGGATTTTAGCCTAATGTTGAGTAATTTCCTTAAGAGGCTATCCTGGGTTCTTCTTTCTGCTGACCACATCAGCTCCTTTTTCCTAGGGTTTTTCTGTATTTAATGTGATGAGTTAATATGCAAAATAGAAGGTAGGAGTGGGTCCCAAATCCCGTTTTGCTTTTCCCTGCAATAATACTCATATTTCTTAACTACAAAWTTATGAGAGCATAACAGGACCTCCTTTTTGTACAGCTAATTCATCACCTCATTACTAAGTAGAATGTCTTCCTTTCCATCCTGACATATGCAGCCATTAAGTGATCTTGCTTGACTTACACACACAACGTTTCTTTTGTTACTATAAGGAAAAAAAATGCCTTAAGTTCAAGATATTAGAAGCTGGATCCTAAGTTCTAGCATTCACATGTTAGCATTTGAATTCAAATCCTCTAAATACTTGAGCATCTAGCATGTTGCTTTATAAAATACTTATCTACATGGATATGTTTGTGTGTGCATGCCTGCAAATATATTTTTTGCAGGAAACAGGAGAGAGAGGGCATAGCATGGAAACATAAGGTCATGAAATTTGGAAAAAGCATTTAGGAAAGCAAAGTATTTTCTTCCTATAGTTGTTTTTTGGTTGGTTGGTTGGTTGGTTGGTTTTTGAGGGGAGAGAATAATGAAGCACTTCTTTGTTATTTTGTACTTCAGCGTTTGTTAGCAGAATTTCTACGAATTTAAAAAATGAAATTTCCTTTAATTCATACCCTTTTCCAGATCAAATTGTCTAATTTCAAGAATTATTATTCTGAAGTTAAGAAAATAATAGGAAAAAAAATCTTCTGTTTCCCCATTTTAAAACAAATCAATTCAGAAAAAAGACCTSTGTTATAGCCCAAAAACTTCACTTTGAATTGTTATCTGAACACCTGCGTGCCAAGACCAAGTGGCCATTGGAAATGCTGAGTTCCCAAAATTTGTCTAAAAGCAATGCCAGCTTYACATAAACCTTACTGTCTCAGTAAAATTTGGACTGGGAAATCTAGATCCCAGTTTTGACGAGGGAAAATAAACAACGGCTCATTTTGAATGTAACTGTGTAATCTCACATAGATACAGTCTAAAGGAGAGAGCAATCAAAGAAGGGCTATGAGGAAGTAAAATAAATACGTTTTTTTCCTTCATTATACAAGTCCCTCATGAGGGGAGGAGGAAGGGCAGGCACTGATCCCTTCTCTGTGGTGCTCAGTGACAGGACCCAAGGGAATGGCCTGAAGTTGTGCCAGGGGAGGTTTAGGTTGGATATCAGGAAAAAGTTCTTCCCCTAGAGGGTGGTTGGGCACTGGAACAGCTCCACAGGGAAGTTGTCACRGCCCCAGCCTGACAGAGTCCAAGAAGCATTTGGACAATGCTCTTGGGCACAGGGTGTGACTCTTGRGGATGGTCCTGTGTAAGGCTGGGCWTTCAACTYGATGATCTTTGTGGATCCYTTCCAACTAACCTGATTYTGTMATTCTGTGACCATCAAATTTTCCTGTTCACTTCACCATAGTGAGGAAGCATTTTAAGTTATATTTATCATTATAGCAGCCAGTAGGCTGAAGCCAGGCTTAGATCTTTCTGATATTTATTCGTCGAAGGAAGAACTATTCTCTTCTGGCCATTGACTATTTCATGAAACTCCTCCTGCAAAATATATGTCAACAGGTATTTTGAAATGTAAGCTTAACAACTCAACTTCAGTGAGGGCAATCAAGTGGTGGCTCTGGAGAAAGTTAATTGTGTGCCCATGACACGCTGCAGCCTTTCATTAAGCAAAGACTTTTAAAGATTTTGTAACGCTTAACTTTTACTTCTTCCACTGTAGCTTCCAAGGACATTACATTCTACCCAGCTACACTTGTGTTTGGGGCCAACAACTTCTGTTCAACTAAGCAGCA